TTTTAAGTCATGAAATGTGTGGGCATTTGCCAGAGCAGCAACAGGAAACTGCCCTGTGCCTCCAGCTTCCTCTCTCCGCCTCGCAGAGAAGCACCTGCCTGCCAACTCGTGGCCCCACAGCGCGAGCTGGCCGCGTCCTAACCAAGTTGTGCGGGTTGTCTACCCGCCCTGCGGTCCGCCAACTCCTGATCTGAGGACCCAGCTCCTTTTCTTCTCCTGCTTGGAGAGTTTTCCTGTATTCCAGTGATCGCCGCTTCCGTGGCACAGTCAAAACTCACAGCCAACTGAGCTGTGCGGAAAAGAGCCGTTCGTTCGTTTCCCATCTGAGATTGTTCGTGGGTCCTCACAGCCTGAGCAAAAGGAGCCTTCAGCTTCCTCTCTGGTGTCTGACACTCTGCTCTCTTCCTCTGACTCTTTATGGCTTAGTCTTATCTTTCTTTTTATCGTCCCCACACCTCCTGCTTTGGGTCCTCAGGGAGACAGAGCTGCTGGGGGTCTTGGCTGTAAGCACTGCCCATGGGCTCCCTCCTGGTCCCTGAGACAGAGTGGAGGGTCAGGTCTGCTTTCAGAATGAGGACCTTGGCTCGTGAATCATCCTGGCCGGGCATTGGGAGGGGCTGGCACCCCCCACTGAGATTCCTGGTCCCCGGTGTCAGTCTCACGTTCTGTGGCTTCTCCCAAGCCCAAGACTGCCAGTCCCCGGGCTTCCCAGCACCTCATGCTGTCCTCCAGGGACAGGGTCTAAAGATCACCTAATCCAAGAGCCAGAAGCAGAAGCTATGGTCCGAGCTCATCCCTATTTCAGTGGCTGCTGGGGGACACGGGTGCGTGGCCACTGTGTGCTCCTCCCTAGCTGATCCTAGAGGATGCACCACGCACCCTGGGTCCTAGGCCATCCCCAGTACTCACACGTTTCCACCGGACTCCCCCTCCGGACTCCCAGCCTAAGAAAGGAAGAGCAAGGACACAGGGGTCTGCCCTCTTCATTTGCCCCTAGCCCCTTCCATACCCAGTTGTGGCCAAGAGGGGACCTCGCTCCCCTGTCCTATCTTGAAAGGGCATTCCTTGCACCAGACCCACCATGTCCTGCAAGGCTACTAAGCCTGTCTTGAGGAGAGCTGGCATCTCCCCTCTACTATGGGCTCTGGATGTTGGCACCCCAGGGCAAGCTGGAAGTCCACAGGCAGAGCACGGTGCTGTGGGTTTCTGATCCCAGGGTCACCCCTCTGCGGAGCTTCTGCTCCATCTGTCCCTGATTCCACCGCCCATGCCCATCCCTTCAGCCCTCTGCTCTGCATCGGCAGCCGCAAACTTGCCCCGGAATCAGCTGTTCTCAAACATGTTGGCCTCAGAGTCCCTTTACATTCTTAAATCATCGAGAACCCCAAGGGGCTTATGTTTGAATGGATTATATAAGTCAATATTTACCCTATCAGAAATTAAAACCAGGCATTTTTAAAATATTCATTGATCCATTGAAAAATAATAACAGTAAACCCCTTATACGCTAAATGGAAACAACGTTTTTATGAAACATAACTTTTTCCAAAACAAATGAGGAGACAGGCATGTTCCGTGTTTTCGGAAATCCCTTCCGTGTCTGGTGGAATAGGAGATGGTTGAATTCTCGTTTTGGCTTCTGTTTTGAATGCATTGGAATATGTTGTTTTGGCTGAAGGACTTGAAGAAAATCTAGCCTCGTGTTGATGTGTAGTTGGGAAAAGGGGGTGGGTTTGGGGTGTCTTGCCAGATGATTACAGATGCTGTGCTTTCATATTACCGGGAAACCCAGCAACTGGGGGTTTCTTAAAGTAGGTAGACAGTGAGATCTGAACGCGTATCAGTGAACCAAACTCCATTGATCTGTCCTGCACTCAGATCCCATTTTGTATCCATATGAGGTTCTGTCACACCATAAACAGTTTCCAAATGGTGACACATTTCATCATATGCCGAAAAACTCACATTGATGACCGTCACCACTGATCTCATCAGCAGCCTCTGGGTGACAGACACTATCAGGTTCATGGTAGCAGACGTAAATTTCCCAAGGTTCTTCTTCATGCTCTAAAGCTTCAGTTTTGTCATAGGCCACAAATATCGCCACTTGTTTTCCTCGCAGTGATGAGCTCACTGTGTTCATTTCTAAGAGAATGTCTGGCCAACACACAAGACAGAAGAGTTTAGCTGCCTGTTGTGCTTTTAAGTAAAAATGATGCTTCGTGAAAAAAAATTCTAGTTCATGTTAGAACTCCAGCAATTTGGCTGCCTCCTTACGTCAAGACCCCAGTCGTGCTTCAGGTTGGAACAGAAATGCTTTCAATGTGAGCTGCTCGTTTCTTCACGTGGGGTATTACAAAGACACGGCTCAAGGGTCAAGGTTAGTAAGATGAGTAACTTATTGGGGCATCAAGGACCTGCCTCTAATCAGGACATACTTCATCAAAGACATGCTCTTCTTTACCCTTGTGACAAATACCGCAGGTTGCTGGTTCGGTTTGTGCCTCAGCCTTGACCCACGCTGAAGTCCTAGCTGTTCGGCCACCATTGCTTCTCCGCCACTGGTGCAGGTGACAAGGCCAAACAAGAGAAGTAACATCTCAACATTGTTGTTAAAATAGTTTTGACCTTGTGGACCCCTTAAAAGACCTTGAGAATCTCCAGAGGTCCTTGGACCACACCTTGAGAACCCCTGTTCTAAATTGTGGTACACAGTATGTGCGGGGGTCACTCCGCCCGTCTTCCTCCCATTGTCAGTTTCCATCCCTTCCCATCTTTGTTTGGGCCATCTCTCCTCCACCTCAGTGAGCATAGCCTGTGGTCTTTCCATCTCAGCCTGGTTCCTTCTTTATTTCCTCCTCTCTCTGAATCGCAGGTAGCTCACAAGCACGCTTGTTTCAAGTCTTCTTCCGGCCCTGGCGGTCGCTCACGAACAGAGTGTTTTCTCCCTGGGGCTGACTTGAACTTAGAGCGGCATGTTGGTCTTTTGCCTGCCGATGCAGGCATCGTTGAGAGACATCTGGTCGACCCCATTTTGCAACAAGCAGAGTGTGTGCATTATTCTGCACCCCCACAACCTCCTCACCATGCAACTCCAGATCGGGGTGATTGACCCTGGAATATGTCAGCGTCCAGCTGCCACCCGCATGGCTCTTATCTCAGAGGACTTCCGGTCCCGGGATGTGGTGTGTCCTACAGGCCCCCATCCTTCTTCTTGCTGGGCTGGGGGTGTGGTTCTGCCTGGATGCAGAATAAGGGCCACTCCGCTGGGAGAGAGGCGAAGGATGGTCTCTAGATTTTCTGGCTGATCCAGACCCTGTCAAAGTGGAAATGGAGGAGGTCAAGAGACCCTCCCCACCGGGTTCCAGGTACCTGTGCTCCCAGGCTTGAAGCAAAGAGGTCAGTGCAGCTTTCTCTGTGGATGACAGTCCTCCCCCTGGACTGCGGCCGTCACGAGGCCATGTTCGCTTGGTTTTCAAAGCTGAGGCTAGAGCTTCGTTTGTGGGACCTTCCAGAGTGTTTGAGCAACAAACGGGGAGTGGGAAGTCAGAGAAGTGCAGACAAGGCCACTTAAAACCGGGCGTCCCATCCCAGAGCTTCCTAGAAGAGCTCTGGGCTGTCCCCATTGGAAACCACAGGCCCCGAGTTCCCACAAGACAGTGGCTCCCTGGGTCCGTCTGATTTTGTCACTAAGAATGGATTAAGTAGATCCCTTTGAAAACTAAAAATACTGCATTTGGCAGACATTCTCTAAAATCCAGAACAGACAGAGTGTGTCCATGACGTGGAGGGGACATTTCCCAGTCGGTTCAATTTGGTGAGCCCACCAGAAGGGTCTGGCGGGGGGTGCTGTGGTTTTCCCAGGACAGCCCAGTGCTGGATGTTTCCTGCACCAGACACCTCCCAGACGAGGCCACTACAGGCTTGCTGTGTGGGGACAAACTGGGGGGAGGTGGGCAGCTCAGCTTGCTCACCTATTAGAAGGGACCCTGAACTGTTTGCGAGGAGATACCTCCCGTCTTTGTCCCCAGGACTCTGTGGCCTCCTGGGGACAGTGCCCAACCCCCACTTGCCTGGCGTCCTCCCTCCACACAGAGCCATTAGCTCAGGCCACAAGGCAGAGCAGGGCCTCAGAGAGAGGAGCACAGCCTTGCCCTTGTGATGAGCTTTATCTCTGCCATCTCTGTGGCAGCGCTGACCAGCCGGTGAACCCCCTGGACTTCTCTCTCTTCTCTAACTTCCTCTCAAACAACTGGATTGGGCAACAGATTGGAGTTGGAAATAACCCTGTGGCCAGACCAGGTGCACCCCCAGGATCCCACCTGGCTCTGGCCCTGCTGGGATCCCCAGAGCCACCAACTTCACCCCGCTCGGAGGAACATTGGACCCCCTGGTGCTAGGGACTGCTAGACCCACCCTCATCCGGTGAAACGGGGTGCTGGAGCACAGTCTCTGAGCTCTGGGCTGCGCATCAGCAAAGCTCCGGGCTCCGTCTCCAAGCTGGGGTTCCGGACCTCTGTCCCTCCTCTCTCCGTTATGGGTTATGTGAGGTGGTGAGGACAAGCGGTGGCAACTGTCCCAGCCTGTGATTCTGAGCCCTGATAGGTCGTGGCCCTTTAGCACTGAAAGTCACGGACAGGCAGCCTGAAAGAATGTCAGATTGTGAAGAGGCACGGAAGTGTTTAAAGGCAACTTCATTTCTATAAAAATAGAGTTGTTTCCATTCCAATACCCTAACTGCACATGTCTGACCCCAAGTTGCTGGGCTTTCCCCCACTGCCCCCCGGGAGAGAGCAGGAGCATGGAGCTGGCCCTGCAGACAGTGAGGACTGCCTGCGGGTGACTTAATCTGTTTTCTGTATACGAGAAAGTTCTGTGTGTGTGTGTGTGTGTGTGTGTGTGTATGTGTTCTTGCACATCCATGCGTGCAAGCACTTAAAACCTATTGCAAAAACAAGGCGGGTGTCTCATAGATTTCTTGTTTCTGATATTTTCCCAAGGGGGTTGAAGGGCCGGATTAAGAAGGAGAGCTCCCAGAGGGAGCTGCTTGCTGACACAGCGCACCTGAATGAGACCCACTGTGCCCGCTGCCTGCAGCCCTACCGGCTCCTTGCGACCCCCAGAAGGCAATGCCTGGACTGCCACCTCTTCACCTGCCAGGACTGCGGCCATGCTCACCCGGAGGAGCAGGGCTGGCTTTGCGACCCCTGCCACCTGGCCAGGTGAGTCATGGCCCGGCATCCAAGGGACCCTGTGGGTGCCAGGGCCCGACGGGTCCCCTGGGGGGTGCTGGCTGAAGAAGGGTGGGCATGGACGCATGCCTCCCGGCGCCGTGCCTCGGCCTGAACCCCTTGTCTCTGCAGGGTTGTGAAGATTGGCTCTCTGGAGTGGTACCACCAGCACCTGAGAGCCCGCTTCAAGCGCTTTGGGAGTGCCAAAGTGATCCGTTCCCTGTGCGGACGGCTGCAGGGGGCAGGTGAGGAGCGCACCCCTCCCTGGGCTTGCTCTTTGTTCCCATGCGTGTTTCAGGTTTCAGGACCAAGTAGATCCTTTGGAACAGGTGTGTGCCCCTGTCAGGCCCTCTCGGGTGTTTTGTACGAGGTTGGCTGCTTTCTGTGGCCTCCTGGGAAGTCCTGCATGCTGACGACACCCAAACTGCTTGAAATCCTACCTTTCAAGGCTTCCTAGCAGGTTGAGAACTCGTAGCTAAGGTCTCAAACTCAGTGACTAGTCAAGTAACCAGGCGCTGGTTAATAGAACATGTTCTCCAGGCCCTTCCTCTCTGGGCGTCTGATTTGGGGCCTGGATCTTCTCTTTTCCACAAACATTCCCTGTGCATCTGATGGGCCGAGGGGTCTTCCTGCAGCTGGAGGTCTGGCCCCCGCCACAGGGCTCAAGGGTGAGAACCCCAGGGAGCAGGGCAGAAAGCCACACTGCAAAGCGTTTGAGAAACTCGACCCCAAAGGCGGCCCTGTTCACAGAGGCCACATTGGACCCCTGAAGACCTAGTATTGCTCTGGGAGGTGCCAATTCCAGGGGCCGGGCCAGCTCAGGAATCTGTGTCATATGAAAGGTTGTGGGGATTGTGAAGCCCAGCCGAGGTCCGGAGCTTCTGGAGCCAACACCAACCCGCACCTGCCGATTTCAAAGTTGTCAGAGTTGTCACCACAAGGTGGCGCTGTGGGACAATAGGAACCCTGACTCCCTGCTGCTCCCACCTCGCCCGAGTCCTGCGTCCTTGGGATGATGCCCAGTCTGTATTCTCCCCCGGGGGCACCTGGGAGCACAGTTCACTGAGTCACAGAAGGTGAGAGGAAGAAAAGTTGTGTGTGTGTTTTCCAGTAGTCAAACTGAAAAAATAGACATGATTGAAGTTACTGTTCTGAAGCCTGGCCGGCCAGGGCCGAACGCAGACTGGTCAGCTAGGGTGGGGGATGGGGGTGCAGGGGGTTCTCCCGGTGAACCTGCAGAGCAACCGGGGCGTTTCCCGAGGCCCCCACAGCAGGACGGGCAGATGCTGCCAGAGACAGCCGTCCCAGGGCCGGGAAGGAAATGAGAGGAAATGGGAGCTCAAACACGCGGTTTCGTGGGATGTCTTTCTTCCCAGCGCCTTTCCTTTGGTTCCAAGTTTACCTGACAGAGCGCAAGGCTCGCTGACATCCACAGTAAGTCCTCGGAGCTCGTTGGGCTCGTGATTTTTCCCTCCTCCCTGTGAGAGCGGCTGAGAACTGTCTTCCATGTCAGGATCAGGGACTGTCCTTCGGTCTTGCTCAAACCCTCGTCCCAAGTGGAGAGAGAGATATAAGGAGTCAGCGACCAAAAGGGGCGCAGAGCTCCTGTTCCTGTTCAGTCCTGGGGGCAGCTCCATGCTAACAGGCCACACGCACACCCACACACACATGCACACACACAGACACATGCGTGTGCCCCAGGCCTCTGGGAGCCATGCCCACATTCCCTGCACGCAGGCAGAGCTCAGCTCAGTGTCTTCTGTCTCGTGGTTTGGGGTAAGTCTCCTCAAGATTCAGTCCAGAGAATGAAAATAATCAGCCTGTCTGCCCGCTGCACGGGTCCTAGTGTGGGGGCCCGCTGCACGGGGCACTCTCAAGTACAGTAAATGCCTAGCTCGTTCACACTCGAGACCTCCCCTGACACAAAGGCACAGGGAATGAGGGCTGGGGGTGTGCAGGGGCAGCACGTGTAGGCCCAGCCCCACAGCCCACGTGCCCCCAGTGCAGGGATGTCCTCACGGCCCTTGGGGGAAAGTCGACGATCCATGCTCTAAAACCCCAGAGCTCGTTTCCTGGACCCCTCTGGAGACCTAAAGGAGAACAGGGGCCAGGTCAGTGTGAGTGGGGAAGCAGAGGGAAGAGGCTGTGACGGGGCTGCCAGGGTGCTCAGGTGAGGCAGGGAGCCTGGAGGGTGGAGGAGGGGCGGGCGCCCTGGGGCTGAGACTCACCTCCTTCCAAGCTGTGTCTGCAGACTGCAGATAAACTCATGACATGATTGTTTGAGAAAACGTGATTTTGCTCTCAGCCTCCTTCACCCACCACAAGGCCAGGGATGTGCATTACCTGAGGAGTCCCTGGATGGAGGACAAATGCCCGCTGGCATGATCCCTGACAAAACAGATGCAGAGTAGTAGTTTTCTTCTGGGGTTCGGACCAAGTCTCACTGATGCTTGGATAGGTCTTTGGAAGGCCAGCAGATGGTTTTGCCTGAATGTGTCATCGTGGGTGGATAGGTGGACACGTTTTTGCAGAATGCATGAATAAGTGGATGGATGGATAGTTGGATGGAAAGTGGATGAATGGGGGGCGCCTGGGTGGCTCAGTGGGTTAAAGCCTCTGCTTTCAGCTAGGGTCATGATCCCAGCGTCCTGGGATCGAGCCCCACATCGGGCTCTCTGCTCAGCAGGGAGCCTGCTTCCCCCCTCTCTCTCTCTGCTGCCTCTCTGTCTACTTGTGATCTCTCTCTGTGAAATAAATAAATAAAATCTTAAAAAAAAAAAGTGGATGAATGGGTAGGTGTGTGGGTGGATGGAGAATGGATGAATGGGTGGTGGGTGGATGAGTTGTAGGTAAGCAAGTGGGTGGGCAGATAGGTGGGTGAGTGGATGGGTTGTAGATGGTCGGGTTGGTTGGATAGACTGGTAGGTGGGTGGATGGGAGTGGGTAGATGGGTGGTGGGTGGGCGGTTGGATGGATGAATGGGTAGGTGGATAGGTGGGTGGGGAATGAATGGTTGGCCCCCATCTCTCCCTGGGTTGAGTCATGCGGGCATCTGTTGCAGGTGGGCCTGAGGCAAGCGCTGGCGAGGGCAGTGGAGATAGTGAGCAGACAGATGAGGATGGGGAACTGGACACAGCAGCCCAGGCCCAGTTCATTGGCAGCAAAGTAAGTCTTCCCCGGTCACCCCCACCGCTCCCCCAGCTGGAGCCTGGGGTTCTGATGTCCTAAAAACCTCAATGTTCTCCTTGACTTTACCGGTTACTGTAGCATGAGCACAGAGACCCTACCTCCCTGGCTGTGCCCGGAGAGTGTCTGAGACACCGAGCACCAAACAGGATCATGCCTTCAGCACGTGATCTCACCATAAGAAACCCCAAAGCAAACTATGGGGTGGACAGAGCCCTCAGGAAGCCCACCCGACCTGTCCAGTCTGGGTCCCAGGAGCACGCTCTGAGGTTGTGAGAGCAGGCAGGGGTCCCAGAGAGCGCCCTGCTGTCTTCCCAGATGGCCTTGGTATCCTTCAGGGAAGTGAACCTCTTTGACTCCCCTCTAAACATTTTACTTTTTTTACAGCCAGCCACGAGCCTTGCTTTTAGGTTCATTTCCATCTTCACTTATTTCGTAACATGTTTTTGGTGACAGACAAACAGAATACCCCCCGGGGTTTCTGGAGATTGGAGGGGGGAATGACAGAAGGGGAGCAGTTTGGGGCAGGGGAGACAAGGAGTTTAGTTGGAGACACCGGGAAGAAACCAGGATCCATGACATTCAGCTCTGGCCAGGTCTGGCCAGTCTATAGGGAGAAAATTGTAGATGTGCCACTCAGGGAGCAAAATACTAGCCAGTGTCTGGAATATTCCCCATATCATGCCGTTAAAGGATCAAGATTAGCATGAGGGAGGATTTCAGTAGGTGGGTGCTGTTCATCTGGACAACTTGGAGCTCTCCCCCGCCTCTGGGACCTCCCAGGGGGTGCCCCTCACCTGCCTGAACCATCCGTCCCCCCACCTCTCAAGGGAGAGAAGCATCTGTGAGCCCCAGAGGAGCCTGCCTGTGCTCCCCGCCCCCCATCCCGAGGCTGCCGCGCTCTGGCGCCTGTGTCCTCGGCACATCGGAGCAGTGTTAGGCCCCTTGGGTCCAGCAGGTGTTTCCTTCTGCTCCTCTAAGAGAGGCTAAAGAGGCAGACCTCGCAGGGGATTCCGAGCGGGGAGCCATCTGGGCCCCTTAGTGCTGCCTTGAGCTCCTTCAGGTTTGTGTCTAGGGTGGGAGGTGAGGGTGCCCCTGGGGGTGCCCGCCCTGCCCAGGACAGAGGGGTCCTGGGTCCTTGCCATCCAGCTGATGCCAACTCTGCTCCTCTTGCCCATGTCTGCACCTCAGAAAAAGCGTCTCTCTATTCACGACTTGGACTTTGAGGCCGACTCTGACGACTCAACTTGGTCTGGTAGTCACCCCCCAGATTCATCCCCAGTCCCAGCAGCCACAGACAGCCTGCAGGTCAGTGGGCTCTCGTTTCTGCCCCCGTCCTTCCCAGGATAACCTGAGCGACAGGTGCTCGGGCCCCAGGTAGGGGACGGCACTCTGGGAAGGAGTCCGATGGCCATAGCAGGCCTGATGGGCCTGATGGGCCGGGGGGATGGGGGAGGGAGTTGGGGTGCTGAGGATCTGGGATCCCACAGGATCCAGAAGCTTCACACCCTCCATCTTTGCAGAGATGGGGCTGGCCGCTTGGAAGAGTGGAGTGCAGGAGGGGAACCAAGGCTGGACAAATGAGGGGCCCCAGGGATTCGGATGGGCTGCTTGTCAGGGGAGCGGGCCAGAGGAATGCTGTCTGTCCTGGACTCGGCCTTATAGGTGCCTGGGCATCCGTCCGGCAGTTCCAGGCCTGAGCTGGGCGGGGCTGTGTCTGCCTGGGCTGATCCACAGACTGCTTCAGGGGAGAGGACAGCAGGGCAGCAAGCCAGCACCCCAGAGGTCTTTGGACAACAAGTCCTGCTCCAGCTGCAAGACCAGCCCCTGTGGCCTCTGCTTCCTGTGGTCTCCGGGCCCTGAGGACCGCTTCCTCCCTGCCCCCTCAAGCTGGAAAGGAGCTGGAGCGTGTGACTTCCAGACACCCTCAGTACCTTGTGTCCTTGGGGGCAAGGGCACAACAGAGAGAAGCTTCTGCCGGCCAGAGGAAGGGTAGAGGAGGAGGGGCTGGGGCTGCAGCTGAGGGGCCCCCCAGGGGTCCTGCCATGCTCCCGCTTACCTTTCTGGGAGTATTAGGGTATATGCAGTTAGAACAACACATTCCCCCCAAGAAAATAGCTCCCCCACCCACTTCCTCGGGGCCTCAGGCTCTAGGTGGGTCAGAGCCCTGAGCTGTCAGATGTGTTCCCTTGTACAGTGAGTGGCCCAGGGTCTCAAGACCCCCCCAGCCTTCCATGGACACATGATACAGAGTAGGCAGTAAATGGTTCTCTGCAGGATTTCTGCAAATAAAGGGACCTGAGTTGCAAGGGGCCAGAGCAGGGAGTGCCTAGCGTTTGCTCCCGTGAGGTCTGGAAACCCTCAGACTAGGATGGAAAGACCCACGTGCCAGGGAGCTGCCCTTCCTAGTAAAATCTCACGCACCCTTCAGGTCCCGTGTGCTCAAACCTTCACGGATGAACCCCGTGCCAAGGACGCCTCCCCAGAGGTCATGGTTACCCCTGGATGCCACCCCCCTCCAGAAGAGCAGACAGACAGCCTCTCCCCTGTGGGACAGGACACCCTCACTGAGCTCTGCGTCCCTGGAGAGTCCCGCAGGACAGCCCTGGGGACTGCTGCTACACCTGGTAGGTCCCTTGATGGGCTCTGCATTGGGGATTTATGCAGACACGCCGGCCGATTGATAGCAACCCCTTCCTTCACCGCCTTGTCTGGCATGTCTGGTCCTGGTAGACACCACTCCCCACCCACTCCCCCCTACCCCCAGGCTGGGCACTGCCGTCCTGACACTCAGAAGTCCCAGCATCAACAGCTCAGCTGGTCACATAGCTCGTTATCAGCTGTAGGGAGGGTACTGAGCTGGCTTGGGGTAGAGACAGGCAGGTGTCCCTGAAATGATTAGGATCACTGGTCACCTGGACCATCCATCCTGACCAAAGGACAGGTCAGGTCCAAGCCTGGGGACTGACACTGCACCTGGGGATGAACAGTACTCTTGGGGATGGATGGCGCATTTGGAATGGATGGTGCACTTGAGGTCAGATGGTGCACTTGGGGACAGATGGCGCACTTGGGGACAGACGGTGCACTTGGGGAGGGATGGTACATTTGGGGACGGATGGTGCACTTGGGATAGACGGTGCACTTGGGAATGGATAGTACACTTGGAGGAGGACGGTACTCTTGGGGATGGACAGTGCACTTGGGAATGGACGGTACTCTTGGGGACAGACGGTGCACTTGGGACAGACGGTACACTTGGGGATGGACAATGCAGGTCCCGTTTGGACACTGCTTCCCCCTGGTCCACCGCCAGCCCCCAGCTACGAATCACGAGGTCTGCAAGTGCTGAGAACTAGACTTGCTTAGTTTAATTTTGTTGTCAGACAGTGCGCTTCATAATTAAATCCTGAATTGCTGTCTTTTCCTGTGCCCTGTGGGGGTGTGGGTTCAGGAGTTCAGACACCCTAATGCAGGAGCAGATGAGATCACAGAGGCAGCCCGGTCCTCCCCCTAATAGCCCCCACGTGGCCACCGCGTGGGGCCAGCTGCTGGGAAATGTGGTTAAGGCACCTTCTGCCAGGAAATCGGTCCCCTTTCCATTTTTCCTTTTCATTATATTATAGGGAACATAATCTCATGGTCCACAGGCTGATTAGGGTGCTGGAGGCATTTGGGGAGGAACATGGGGCTTTACTTCCCCCTGAACAGTGAATAAATGAATCTGCATTGAACAGGTCATAGGATGGGGATGGACAGGGACGTCACAGACTCCCTGCCCCCCACCATGATCCCGTCCCGCGGTGAGGACACCGACGGGGCGGCAGGCGGGGAGGGAGAAGCCGAGGGGAGACCATGTCTCTGACCAACCAGCAGTTTCACTTCAACCCTGGAACAGGGAGCATCTCAAGGGACATGCTCCCGACACGCAGGGGCATCGTCTGAGGCTGGGTGGAACATGGCAAGCAGCTTGTTCCACCAGCTTAGCCACTGTGACTCAGTTTCTCCTCCCTGTGAAGAGGGCTTATGCCTGGCGTGTGGCACTATTGTAGCCACTAAACAAGATTGTAGTGTCACAAACGTATTGACTTAAAACAGCGCATCTCCATCCTGTCCGTATGGGAGGGAGTCCCAGGCACTGCCAGACTGTGTTCCCAGCATGTGGTCTCCCAAGCTGAAACCAGAGGGGCATGGGGTTGCAGTCTCGCTGGAGCTCGGGGCCCTCTCCCAAGCTCGTTCACCTGTTGGCAGGACTGTTGGCAGGACTCGCCGAACCAGTGGGGCCTGTTCCCTGTGGAGGACAGTAGCGGCCATGCACAGTGACTCCCATGCGGCCAGCCCTGACCGCCTCTCCCTCCGACTCCACCTCCCAGGGAGGGGTCTGGATCCCTGGGGAGGGACCTTCCGGTGAGGCTGTGGGGACAGTAAGGTCCCCCCAATCTGGAGCACAGGATGAGCATTTCTGGGTATGCTGGAGGTGACCCGTGCCCAAACACAGATGTGAGAAATAGCCCTCAGAGACCAGCGTGGACAGACTTTCCAGAGCCCCCACCACTCACGGACGCTGCCTGGGCCCCACATCAGCCACGCTCCGGGCACACAGTTTCGCGTGGTGGAATTTGGTGTACTGTGGTCACCCGGCTGACATGGTCCCTGCTCCTCTGGCCCCACTGAGAGTTCTGGGCAAGGTCCTGTTTCCTGAAGGTCCCATGTGAGGGCTTGCGATCTGCTCCACTCTGACCTTGATCTAAAGTTCTCTGCTCCCTCGCCTCTGGGGGCTGAAATCACTCTTCGGTTTCTGTCATCTCTCCTTTTTCTTTACTGGGAAAAGCGTGTGCACTGGCTTCCAGCCTTTTGCTCTGGATAATGCGATCCCCACTCTCACTCCAAAGGGAGGAGCGCCATCGGGAGTGAGCAGCTCCCCTCCCAGTATCTGGCCAACATGGACACCTCGGAGGACGATGGCGAGCGCCCCGGGGCTCCCCGCGCTGCCTCCCACCCTTGCGGAGGAGGAGGCCACACCCCGTCCCAGAGCCAGGTAAGGCACCTGCGAAACTTTCCTTCCTGCCGATGCTTTGGATGGAGACTTTTTAACCTTCATGCCAAGTTGCTTCGGAGAAATCAAAGCTTTCAGTGCTTTCCAGCCGCACGTTTGCCCAGGCCTGTGTAGCAGAGACGTGCGAGCAGTGTTATCCAAATGTCCGCTGTCCTGTTGGCATGAAATCCACATAATGTAGAATTCACCGTCCCGAAGTTCATGTTCACTGCACTCAGTGCATTCACAGCCTCGTGCAGCCGTCCCCCTCTGTCGGTCCCAAAACGTCACTGCCCCAGAGGGAAGCCGATCCCATCAGCCGTCACTCCCCATCCCCTCCCTCCAGCTGCGGCGGCCACCGGCCTGCTTCCCGTCTGGCGAGCGAAGTCTCCCGGCTTCGCCCGCCGTGGGCATTGCACCCAGACGGGAGCATTCACCACAAGACGTGCATGCCTGGCTTCCTGCACGCGGAGTCACGGTTTCAGGATCCGTACTGTGGCCTGTGCCAGTGCTTGGTTCTGATGAAGTTCTATAACCTAGGTGAGGTTTGGTGGGCTGAGGTCCGGAGCCGATGACCAAGAAAGAATTCTTGAGACATCTTTGGTGCAAAATGGTGGTTTATTAAAGCACAGGGACAGGACCCTTGCGCAGGAAGAGCTGCTGCCCCGGGTTGTGAGGGATGGCAGGTTATGTACCTTGCGGTTGGGGGAAGCAGAGGGGAAGGGAGGTTTCAACGGAGTTTTCATATGCTAAAGACGGCCTACAGGGATACCGGAGGCCTTGCAGCTTGATCAGTGTTGTCTTTTGGCAAGCCATTAACAGCAAGATAGTTGGGAGATTTTTGGTGAGATGTCACAATCCTGCTATCAATCGTCTTTGTTAATGAGATTTAGGTTCAGAAGAGATTTAATTATATTTACATTCTCTTCTCTCTCAGCCTCCTTCAGTTTCATTTATGGTGGGGAGGGAGACATTGGGGCTTGAGGAACGGAGTTATTTGCCTCTGGCTATTGATTTGTAAACAAAGGGAGACTCCTGTCTTGCAGGATTGTGACCTCTGCAAGTTAACTATTTGTTTATAGTTTATGACAGTCAGGGGTGCCTGAGGAATGCTACACATATTACCGAGGGGGAGCGGATGGAGAGGGGGTGCAAGGTACCAGCTTTTGCTTTGTCTTCAGCCAGCCTCCTGCTCCCTCATCAGTTCCTCTGGAGGCAGATTCTTAGCTTACACCCCATCAAGCATTCTGCCATTTACAAGAGGAGCAAATACTCCACCACGGTATGCCTTTAGTAGATGTTCCGCAGGTTTTAAGAAAATTTAACTTAACATACAAAACACCTGTTAAATGAGTGAGACTCACTCACGTTGTAGACTCTGATTTATGACCTAAATCACAAGATCCCTCTGAGTACCCCGGGTTCCCTTCCCTGAATTTAAACCATGGTCCCGCTTACAGACAGCAGAGTCAGATCTGAGCAAGTACGTTTTATTGAGGGAAAGGCCACCCCACCTTATACGAGGACAGCCTGACCACAGGCTGATGCAGACTCATGGAGACCCTGGCAAGGCCCAACTCCTACAGAGGAGATCTTAGGATTAGGGCCTTTTGTTAGTGAGCAGCCAGAGGCAGGAAACCAAGAGGAGAGCCCTGCTCTGGATGGAGTCCCGGAGACAGCTCAGCCACCGCTGGTCTCAGGCATGTGTTCAGGAGCGGGGACTGACCCAGGCTCTATTACCTGGCTCAGAGCTCCTGGGACCCTCCCCCAGGGAGACTTGAGGGGTGGGAGGTGCCCCTGGGAATTCTCCCTTCAGGGGACCCAGGGATGGAGCTCAGGCTGTTAGGTGGAAGGAATGACTGATGTTGAGCCTGTTCAGAGAAGGCGGAAAGCAGCTGGGACCCGTGCAGCTGTGCTTGGCCCCCTTCTAGACGCAGGTGGGAGGGGCCGCTCTGCAGGGAGCTCCGGCCTTCCCCAGCCCCTTAGCCTTGTGCGCACTCTGACAACCCAGGAGGAGCTTCATCTGACACAGCCCCAGTCCACACACCCCCCTAAAACTCCTGGCTGTCACTCTACCAGCACCGTCCATGGCCCTCGGTGACTAGTGGAGCTACCCAGTGGGACCCAGACTTTGCTGAACCCTCTGTCCCCAGCAGCAGAGGTGCCAGCACAGAGTGGGACTCCCAAGGGGCAGGTGGGGTGCCAGCCCCTCCCCAGTCTCAGCTGATTCAGGAAAGGTGAGAGGCTCTTCCAACTTTGATCCTCTGTCCAAGCCTCGGGAAATGGGATATGCCAAAAAAAAAAGCAGCAGACTTGTAGAAGGAGCACTTCTTCGCATGGCTTTTGAGGAATTGGTGTATGTTTTTTGTTTTAAAATTGGGCTAATGTCAGCAGAACAGAAATGTGAAGTCTCTCCCTCTCCAGAGTCCGTGCCCTGAGGCACAGCTGACTCTCTTTCCTGGAGCGCTACCCAGAAGCTTCCTACAGCCATGGGCTAGAGTTCTCTGTGCCCACCCTCTGCCTCTGGAAGAAGGGCGCTCTCCCTCTGCCCTGAGCACACCAGGGTGTGAAAGACCCTGAGAAGGTCTGCAGTGAAAGCCGTCCAGCATTCTCCACCCAGAGTGGCTCACACTTCTTGGGGCCTGGACCCTCTTTAACGGAAGAGTGAGGAAAACACTACACAGGAAAGTAACCTTTGATCAGACTATGGGTCAGCCCCTAGCAGGGCTGGGGAATGGTGATGGAGGGGCGGTGAGGCCAAGGCAGGGACCTCCCTGTGTGGCAAAGCCACAGTGGACAGAGGAACCCCAAGTCAGATGACAAGGTGATAAAGACTGGAACTGTCTGTTTTCAGTAAGTTTTTAATTTAACGACTGTAGGAACTTTCAGTAAAACACATTCCCTGACATCTAGCCAGCCCTCCTGGTACGTGCCATCCTTCCTGCCTCCTTGAATGATTCCCTATTTCATGCTCAGAGCTCGTCTCCAACTCCACCTCCCCCAGCCTCTCCCAGAGCACATGTCCCACACTTTGTGTAAAGGCCAAGTGGGCAGCAGGCCAGGTACCCTGGGGAAAACCCAGGGCAGACCATTCCAGGGGTCCCTGCAAGGGGCTGTGGGTCCTGTCACCGCTCAGCTCTTGTCTTTCCTCCAGCCCCAGATGAGAACAAGAACCCCAGTTCCTTGTCTCGGGATGCTTTTTTTTTTCACTCTGGAAGTGACATTTGACAGCAACTGTGTCAGGCACCGGTGGGTCACCCTCTTCTTCTCAGTAAGGGGGTGGGGTCTTCTGTGCCGGCCACGTGTCCTGTGCACGTGTCCCGGAAGACAGAAGCAGTCTGTGCACACTCTCAGCCAGGTATCGATCCCACCTCTCCACCCCAGGCAGCCAGACGGCGGCTCAGTTACCGGCAGTCGCTCCAAGTCCTCACCCAGCGGTGACGGTGACGTTTCTCAGCTTTTGTATTCTTCTTTGGGCAGCTTTGCCCACTCAAAGCCCTCGGTGATGTGAAGATCAAACCAATTACCTACCGAACAACGCAAACGCATCCTCTCGCTCAGCATTTCCCTTTGAAAACAGGGTGAGCTCCCGAGGAGATAATGGCAGGAAGGATGCACCTGCTGGGCTTGGAAGAAAGGAAGGATTGATTTTCTCGGGTCTGGTCTGGGCGCTAATAGACTCTGGTGACTCAGGAGAGGAGGAAGTTGTACTTTTAGTCACTTGAGGCTGTTAGCTGGTGCCTCCTGGCCCAGAGCAACCCGAGGCTCTTACCCGCTAATGACTTCTAGTTCGAGCAGCCTGGCATAATGAATTAGTGCCTTCCTGTGCCGACCAGGAGTGGCGGTGACCACAGCTACCTTACAGTAGTGACACATCATACCTTTCAGATCCAGCTGCCTCGCTTGCTGAATTTGTCATTCTTCTGTGCTCACCCTTTGCCCTCTCTTGTGGTGCCACTCCCAGATTTTACTTGGTGTTCTAGAACTCTCAGTGTCAAAACGGGCCTCACGCTCCCCTTCCCAGGTCCCATTATGGATGGTGGCCTTAGCTTTCCTTCCAGTTCTTGGGAATTTAGTGCTTCTGCGGTGTTGGGCCCCAGATTCCTGCTGGTGACAGTGGGCTCTGTCTGCCGGACACTCCCTCATCTTGGGGACCCCATTTAGGGTCGGAGGGAAGAACTGTCCTCCCATGGTAAAAGTGTCCCCAAAGGAAAGCTCAGTGTCTTGGTCACGAATGGTGGATCTTTGGCCTGGGTGGAGACAGGATCACAGGAGTGCCCCACCCTACAGACCCCGGTTCACGAGGGCCAGGACTGGCCCCAGCACAGGCACTGGGCGCGAGTAGTGGAGACTTCTCCCAGAGCCCTGTCTCTGAGCACAGTGCACACAGATGACCAGCTGAATGCCAGTCTGTTTGGTGGTCTCAGTGTCTCACAGGCTGCGAGCCCACAGATGCCGACAGAGAAGAGGAGACCCTCAGGAGGAAGCTGGAGGAGCTGACCAGCCACATAAGTGACCAGGGAGCCTCATCCGAGGAGGAGGGGAACAAGGAGGAAGAAGCAGAACTGGACAGGAGCCCCTCCATCAGGGACCTCCCGGGGGCAGGCTTGGAGGTGAGGCCGCATGACTGGGCTCAGCAGGACCTGGGCAGAGGCAAGAGCTCTTGACTCCCGGGCCAGGAGGCAAGAGCTTGTGACTTAGCCCCTTGCCCACCCCAGGCAGCCAGCCAACCTCTGGGGGGCCCTGGGCCCCAACAAGAGCTGCATGGGAGGCTTAGCCCCCAGCCGGCCAGCTAGTCCACCAGCCCCGAGTTCAGAGGAGAATACCGTAGGATGGGCCCATCTTGGGGAGCGCCCTGCCATCTCTCCTGCTGTCGTCATGCTCCATGCTTCCCTCTCCCAGGTGAGCGGGGCTGCGGGCCAGATGTACAGACAGGAAACCATCCCCGGGGACCCTCAGGACCTCGTGCAGCCCAGCAGGACCACAGACAAGAAGCTGCTGGAGCTGGAGGATAGAGTGGCTGTCACGGCCTCGGAGGTTCAGCAGGTGGAAAGTGAGGTAACACCAGTCCCAGGGGCGCGGGGTCTCCAGGCGGAATCATGGCGGGATTCTGGCAGCTGTGAACAGAGCACCAAAGCTCCAGAACAGGAGCTTGGGGTTTCCGTGGGGATTGCCCACACCACCACCCCTGTCTTCATCCCATTTACCTTGGGGAGAGGCAGGCAGGGTGTTCAGCCCTACAGGAATGATGCTGACGCTTACCCCTCCCTGTCCCAGGAGGAGGGGCCTTCTCCAGAAGCAGGCTCCAGTTTTAAGACAACCCTGGGGCTCTGGAGCAGACTCTGACCCGAAGGTCATCCTGTGAGCCCGAGTGTGGGTCCAGGACTCAAGCGTCGGGAGCCTACAAAGGTCGAAGGACAGAGCCAGGGTCTCTCAGGGACAGCCAAGATGACTGAGCTCTACTCTGCCCTCCCCCGGGGTCCCCCAGAGAAAAGAGGGTCTGCCCTTCGGGCTGCAAGGGGAGTCCGCACCCACAGCCCTTTCTCACTTCTGCTCATCAGCAGGTGTCCACCAGGAGTAAGAAGCGTGTCTCCAGAGCTGTGCGTGTTGGGGACAAGCCACCCCGAGGACTTTGCATTAGTTTATTCCTTCTTGCTCAGCAAACGATTTTCAAACTCCTGAAAGGCACAGCTGTTGCACTCTTAGATTGAGCCTTGCCTTCATGGAGTTTATGCTTTCGTGGAAGGAGATAGAGGCCAAGCCAATGACCAAGGATCAGTTCTTGAAGCCAGCCGTGCAGAGAGGGTGTGAGGGTGGCTTGGTGGAGCCCCCAGGTGGGCTGCTCAGCAAGGAATATTGCAAGGAGAAGGCAGCGCACATATGTGGAGGTCCTGGGGTGGTCTTGAACTTGGCATGTTCAGGAAGGAGCAGTGAAACCCTGAGCCTGGGGCAGAAGGAGTGAGGGGGAGAGGGTGGGAGGCAGCTGCAAGAGGAGGACAGAGTCCAGAGAGCCATTGGAGGGACCAGAACAGGGGTGATGGGGCCTTGATTCTGTTTCCAGAAATTTCCTTTGGCTACTATGGGAGCCAGGGTTGGGGGCTCATTTAAAATGATGTCAGGAAGGCAGGCTCTGCCAGACGCCAGCCAAGCCTTTGCCCGTAGTGTACGCCTGTCCCTTAGAGCTATGGTGACACTGTCCGCTGTCACTGCCCCTCCTGCCATCCCTGGGGGGGAGCCAGATTTCCCGATGCGCCTGAAAGTGTACAGAGCCCCTCTCCTCCTGCATGGGGGTGACCCGCGAGGAACAGCAGCCCCCTCCCCGACAACCATGAAGATACATGAAAATGGGTCCCCAGGAACCGCATCTGTTGGGACCCCATCTTAAAGGGACCATAAGAAAGCTGGTGAACGGGAGGCTACTCTTCCTGGACTGTGACGTCAAGCTGGCACATCAGAGTGACGTCCGTGTGTCTGTCCTTTTCCTGCAGGTTTCCAACATCAAATCCAAGATTGCCGCCTTACAGGCTGCAGGGCTCACCGTGAAGCCTTCGGGAAAGCCCCGGAGGAAATCTAACCTGCCGGTGAGTACAGGAAGCCCGGTGCCAGGCTTTGGGCCCAGAGCCCCTGCCAGAGCCACCCCTGGAGCCTGAAACCAACAGGCTGACTGGCCCCCTCCCTTCCCGCCCCACCAGCCTGGCTGGGTGTGACCGGAACAGATTCCCTGGGGACAGCAGGGAGGGGGCTGCCCCCCACCCTCCGCAGCAGGTCTGGGACCAACACTCATCCACCCAGAGTCAAGCTGGGGTCCCCAGAGCCGGTCACACCAGTGGGGTAACCTGGCAGGCAAACACAGGGTGGTCCCGGGGGAGCCCCAGGTCTGGCTGCAGGAGGTACACAGGACATTTGAACTTCAGATAAATGACGTGTCACTTTCGAGTATGAGTATATCCCCTGCGATACTTGGAACAGACTTATAAACCGTATTCATTGTTTCTGAATGTCAAAGCTAACAGGCTGTCCTGTGTGTTCCTGGGCTGAACCTGGCAGCCCAGGCCACTGGGCTGGTGAGCTGGGGGCTGACGGGCCATCCCTGAGCAACTGGCCCCATGTTTACGGAGAAAGGCCATGCCCCCGTCCTGCCGGTCCCCCTGGGGCGGGCTTCAAACAAGCCACCGTCAGGTACAGGCCTTTTCCTTGCCCCCAGATATTTCTTCCCCGGCTTGCTGAGAGACTGGACCGGAATCCTAAGGATCCGAATGCAGACCCCACGGAGGAGGTATGTGTTGTTCCAGGAGGAAGAGATCGGGGCCACTCTCTGGCAGCACAGCGCGCCGCAGGCTGACACGTGTCAGTGGGGCTGACTCGGACACACCGTGCGGCTCGGCCTGCCCCACAGGGTGGCTTCCCCAGAGGCACACACAGGGTCAAGCTTGGTGTCAGAGCATTGGTTGGGGAAATCTGGGAAAACCCAGATGGGGAACAGGAAGGTGGGACAGACGGGAGAAGGCCAGCAAGCCTCCCACCTCGGCAGACCCCACGCAAGGTATCTGTGGCTCCCAGTGACGCCCCGGGCATTGTCCTGTGTGGGGCAAGGAGGCCGCATGGACCCCCCCCCCAATGCCATCAGTCATGGACGAGGTCCGTTCTGGGCTCTTCTTCCTGGCCCCGTGCGGGCTGGCGGGCTCCAGCGGCCTGGGGACAGGCCCACCAGGGGGACGTGGGGGCCAGCTGTGGAGGCATCAGGAGCCAGCGAGCATGCGGTGTTACAGGGCCCGGGGTGTGGGGGACGGTGGCTCCGCTCACAGCATGCAGGGGATCTCCAAGGTGTAGGCCGTGTGGTTGGGGGTGAGGTTGGAGGTGCCCTCCCCAGTGCCCCCGAAAGAGCGGCGTCTGTTCCCAGTCCTGCCTGCTGCCTGATGTCCCCTCGGAGCCACAGTGAACACGCAGCACTTGCGTGTGTCGTGACAGTGACACTGGTAGCTCTTTATAGTTAAAAACAGTGCTTCTCTGAAGGCTCCTTCCATCTGAGGTTTACAGACCTGGTGAGGAAGCATTGCGGCTAACCCTGTTGTCCCAGTGAGCAGACCAAAGCTCAGAGAAGTTGACGTCCTTGACTGAGATCATGCAGACCATAAATGACAGGATAAACGATGGAGGGGTCTCAGCCCGGGCCCCCTGGCCCTGACCTCCCACCCTCTTCTGGAGGCCATGGGGCTTCCTGATGGGCTCAGGGAAGCCCAGCCCTGGAGGCCTCTCCAGCAGGCTTCCAGGTGCATCCCCCACACCAGCCAGGCAGAATACCAGGCCAGACGTGGGAAGATTTCCAAGGGAGTGAGGCCACCTGCTCATGCCCAGCAAGGCAGAACAGAGAGAGGACAATCCCATCACGGAGAGGCAGTCGGCAGGAGTGAGGGTGAAAGGAAGGCATAGGGACCAGCAGCCATGGGATTTGGGAACATGTGAGGAGCAGGTAGTCTCCCACTAACCCCGGGAGGGGCTACTGCCTCATTTTCCAGATGAGTTCAGAGAGGACACACAGTCGTCCACATCATGGGGGTGGGTGGGTGGTGCCTGGACTTGAACCCAGGTCCGTGGGGCTGAAATGTGTGCTCCCCCTGCCCTCCCGCCCGCTGCTGACAAACATAGGCATCTCTTTTATGCTCTGATATTTGGTGTTTCATTTATTGATACCGTGTATTTTAATATTGATAAAAGTTCCAATATTGCCAAAGAACAGAAGGCATTGGACGGAATTCACTAGAATCTGGAAGAATCGTGGGAAGTCCCAAGTTAGCTCCCCATGTGGCTAAGAATGACAGCAATTCATGACGCCCAGAGACGTCTTCTTTCTTCTAGGTGACAACGGCGCCCTATCTTCTCAGAAGGAAGTTCAGTAATTCCCCGAAAAGCCAAGGTAAGAGTTAGCGGCTTCACTCATCCCCGCAGGCTGGGAGATGAGCTGGAGGGTGTGGGAGTGGCCAGTCAGGGTTCTGCATTTCTGTGTCATCCCCACAACACAGCATCTCCTGCCCAGGAGCCTGAAGGGCCCTCCCCGAGCCACCACGGCCACCGGCAGGAAGCATTGCGGTGGCTGGGTGTTCTGGAATTCTCTGCACTGAGCACGCAGAGGGGGTGATGCTGGTATTCTCCATGTTTTGCGTCGTAAATGGCTCTCCGGCTTGAGCAGCTCCCAACCCCCTCAGGCAAAGCACAGAACACGGCTTAGCTTCTCTTGATGTCTCAGTAGCAACAAGGACATCAGCTTCGCTCGGGGTGAACGGGAAGGAAGGCCCGGTTGCCTTTCCCGTGGTGCTCAGCCGGGCTGCCGGGGAATCGTGTGCTGGTGCATTGCTCCCCTTGCAGCCCAATCACGGGTCGCCAGAGAGAAGCAGCCTCCTTTCCGGGTCAGGGTTTAGTCCCCCCGCTGCTCTGCCAGGCCTCTGAGCCGCTATGGCATCTCCTCTTGTCCCTGCCTCTGAGCTGTGCCCTCACAACCCCGTCATTACAGCTCTGCCCACAGCCACGGTCCCAGCGCTCAGCTTCCTCTGTGTTCCTCTTCTGCTCCTGAACAATCGTTGGCCCCCACCTGCCGGCAGAATGAGCGGGATTTCTTAGCACAGCCTTCTAGACTCTCACCTTCCAGCCCACACAGGAGCCCTGGGTGAACAAGACACGCTCACAGGCACATGTGGGCATTGATCGCTCTGTGCACACACATACCTCCGTACCTTTGCCTGGGCTGAGCCTTCTGCCCAGAGCCCTCCTCACTCCCTCTCCTACCCACCTCTGCCTTCCGAGGCCAAGTGCATTGTCTCCCCCGCAGGAGTTTCTCCACCACCTCCAGAATATTCTCCACCACCTCCTCAGAACAGGTCTCTGCACATCCCTGTTTGTGCCCAGCTCTCCTCCGTGCAGCTCCCTCTCTGCTCCCTGTAGCCGGGCAGGTCAGGCGGGAGACAGGGCAGGTCCCGAGACCTCTGAGGTGAAGCCCCCACTCAGGGCCACAAGCCACCTGCCACCTGCCAAGGGGCCGGGAGGAGGCTCCTGGAGCACATGCACCAGCGCCGGGGGGAGCTTCCAGCAAGTGCCACGGCTCCCACCCAAGTGAGGGCTCCCAGTTCCAGCGGGAGGAGCCCAGGTGAGCGCCTGGTGTCGGTCAGAGGCCGCTCACCTGGTCCCAGTTCCCCTGGAGCTGGCAGGCTTCCCAGGGGCCGAACCAGCCCAGCTGTGGCTGCTGGTCCCCACACGCCGCTCCTACCACCACAGCCAGTCTCGGCAGAACGGCTCTCAGCTGTGGACCAGACATCCATCCCCACATCGGAAGGATTCACTGCCCCATGGCTGGGATCTCTGAGTGAGCAGTTCCCTCCATAGAGTTTGGTCCACGAGCAGGAACACGTAGCAAATCCCGGCAACACGTTCTCCACCCAAAATGGAACCCCGAGCTCGTTTGCCAGCCCCCCTGTGTAAACGTGACCGTCAGCCCTCCTTTGTGGCCTCTGCTGGTTTCCATGGTGTAAACCTGTCCACGGTGGCTGATGTCAGGCTGCCTAGATGTCGCAGAACATGGGGCTGGGCAGAGGAGACGCAGCCCAGCACCCCCTGCACCCCCGCCCCGAGGAGCAGGTACGTGTCAGGCGGCCCCCCGACACCTGCCGGAGGACGAAGGCCGCTGGCTGCCCGGGCCCAGGGTTTGCTCACCTGTGGCTCACAGCTGACTAGGATGGGAGACCAAATGCCCCGCTACATGACTGAAGCCCTGGGGGGACGCCCTCTGTTCTGAGGGGCAGAGCCCCGCCCCCCTAGGCCCATGGCACATCACAGAACTGAAGGAAATGCCGTGCGTTCTGTGTTTCACTCGAGGGAGCATTTCTGCTGCCACCGTGAGATAGGGTTTTAACGCTCGCTCCAAGGCAAGGGAGAAAGAATAGCACTAAACTGTTTTCTCCTGTGCTCCCTGAAGGTAAAGACGGGACCTCCTTTCATCGGCAGTCGGCGTACCACGGGTCCCTGACACAGAGAAACCCCAACAGCAGGAAGGGGGTGGCCAACCACAGCTTTGCGGTAAGCCCGTCTCCTCCCTCCTGAGGCGTCTTGAAAGCCCTGGGGCCCCTTCTCTAGTTTCCGTGCTGGCATTAGGACTCCAGAGCAGAGAAAATGGGAGAAACTAACGAGTGAAATCAACCAAAGACTTAAAGAAAAATTGAAAACGTTTCTTAAAGATACCAGAATATACCAGTGATAGGGGTCTCCACTTACCCTGGGCTGAGTCTTGGCTTGGGGAAGGGGTCCATCCGTGACAGAGAGAGTACACTCAGGGGAGGGGACCACCCACAAGACCGTGAGGACACTCAGGGGAGGGGACCGTCCATGAGAGAGAGGACACAGGGGAGGGGACAGCGCACGAGGCAGTGAGGACACTCTCCTCAGCCCCAGCAGCTCACCCGTGCAGTAAAGCTAATTCAGCAAACCACGTGTGCCGATGTTGGGGTCAAGGCTGTCCCCAGGGGCCATGGGAGAGAGCGCTCTGCAGAACACCTGGGCTGGCAGCCCCTCACGAGAACCCGGAAAGGCTCCCGCTCCCCTGCGTGGACGCTGCCTGTCCAACAGCGCCTCACACCTGTGGCTCTGTGACAGCTCAGAAGAGGTCATCTCTGGGGACCTCGAGGTCATGCCCATGTCCTATAGATGGGCTTGATGACTCGGGGCCAGTGGCTGCAGGCAAGGCCCAAACGCCCTTGACCCCAGTGGCTGTCCACTCCCACAGGCGCTGCATTCTCTCCGCAAACTCCATTTTTAAAAGGGTTTCCGAGCATCTCACACTAGGGACGCACGAAGGTGGCGAAAGGCTGTTCCTAACTGTGTGAGCTTATACTGGCAGACGGGGAGGGGTGGCTCGCCGTCTTTAGGTCACCCCAACAAGGGGACGAGGACATGTGTAGGGGTTGCTGGGGAAGGGTAGAGGTGCCTGCGGGCCTGACAGAGGGCTGGTGACCGTTAGTAAGAAACTGGCCAACAGGGACTTGAAAGTCTAAATGCTTTCAAGTTCGAAAATACCTCCCTGGGTTTCAGAGCCTTAAGTTTTCAGATACTTTCTATCTATACACCCCCTCTGATGAGGGGCAGGTGCCTCTGACCCAGCATCACAGCTGGGGGAGCAGAGGCAGAGACACTGTGCAGAAGCCCCATGGGGACTGACCAGCACCTTCTGACCAGTGTGTACATGTGTCTGTGTTGCTGTGTGCATTCATGTGTATGTGTGTGTACAAGTGCACGTCTGTGTTTGTGTGCCCCTGTGTCTGCGTGTGTGCACCCTCCTATGTATACACACTCATATGTCTATGTACGGGCCCACTTGTGTCTGCCTGTGTGGACACATTCCTTTCTGTGTGTGCATGTCCACATATGTCTCTCTGTGTGTGTGCACTCCTGTGTGTGCACCCTTGTATGTCTGCGTGCGTGCCCATGTGTCTGTGCATGTGCACACGCTCATGTCTGTGTTGCTGGGTGCACTCCTGTGTGTGTGCAACATGTGTACATCTGTGCATGCCCATGTGTCTGTGCGTGTGCACACTCATATGTTTGTTGCTGTGTGTACTCCTGTGTGTGCACACGTGTACATCTGTGTGTGTGCCCCGTGTCTGTGTGTGTGCACACTTTCATGTCTGTGTGTGCATGCCCACGTGTGTCTCTGTGCATGTGTACATGCCTGTGCATGTGCACACTCATTTATCTGTGTGTGCTTGCCCACATATATGTCTGTGTGCACACCCATCTGTGCACAACTATGTGCGTGTGTATTTGTGCTCCACAGAAACCTGTGATGACCTACCAGCCCTGAAGGGGGAAGTTTGTTGGAACAAGATGAAGCAACCCAGGGGCCCTGCCTTCACTTCCCCTCTGCTCACCATCCCGTCCCTCCAATCTGCCCCGTGCTCCGTGGTGCACATGGTCCAGGAGAGACAGGACACAACACCGTCCACAAGGGAACTCCATCTGCGAGGGGACAGCTTTCCCAGACCCTCTGCTCCTCACTCACGTTCACGGACAACCTCTGCCCCACCCTTGCTGGCCTGCTCTGATCCATGAGAAACATCTAAACTGACATGTTTTTTCTTTAGGACGGTGTTAAACTTTTTGAAGGATACAAGAAGAATGTTCTCGGTGTGATCTTTTAGCCCTTTCCCTGCTGGCTCGGTGCTGCACCCTCTGTGTGTTCCCCACACAGTGTCAGAGCACAGGCAGGTGCTCTGTGTGTTTCTGTGTGCACGTGTGTGTGCACGCATGCAAGGAAATCGGGTATCAAGATGAATGACTGAACTCATGGCCAGCTGGCCTCACCGAGCCTCTCACAGCTATTCTGTGGGTCCCCTGTGGTTCACAGACCAGGAGAAATTCCTCTGTGGTCAAGGGCAGCATGAGCACGGGGCAGCAGGTGGGCCTCTGACCTATGTCCAGGGCAGATGCAGAGGACCTGTGGGAGAGGCGGATGCTGGAGCCCTGGGCAGGTATGCGAGAGGCTGGGGGCTGGCCCGGGGCTGCCACTGCTGTGGTGACATTCAGCGGGACAGAGGGCCAGGGGCAGTCAGGGATGCCTGCCGGCCACCTCCAGCCACCTGCCATCCATACTGTCCTGAGCTCAAAGTCCTTCTCCATCTGGGACAGTCTGGCATTTGCTGTCACTTCTGGGTGTCTATGTGGCTTCTCCAGTTTTCAGAGGAGCCCGCTGCGACCCTTGGGGCTGCCTTGGAGCAGTAACTGTAATTGGAAACACCCCCCCCCAAAACTGAGCAGCGGTACATGCTTCACAGGGACTCATGTGTTTAATCCTTAGATTAAATTTAGGCCCATTTTGTAGAGGAGGACACAGCCCTGAGTGTGAGGCTCCTCTCCTGCAGCGAGAAGCTACCATGTGATCCTCTGTTACTTTCTAAAGTGACTTTGGGCCAGCTTTGACATTTCTCTCTTAAATTGCCTGGTGTTTGTGTTCAAATGAAATGGGAACCGGAAGCAGATGGAGAAGTGGTACCCGGAGCCTTGGCTAGCGAGCCTGTCTTCTGCCTTGACGCTGGACAGAGCCCCACCCCACCACCACGCAGACCCTGTACCGCAAGCTTGGCACGTTCACTGAGCCCAAAACACAGCCAGCGCAGAGGAGACGCCATCCCTGGCCTGGCCCACTGGGTTCAGGAATCAGCTTCTGGGTCGATCCGAACAACCAGGCTACAGGTTGTGCTGGACCTGTAGAAAAGACGGATCTGATGCCCCTTCCCGGGTTGGAAGCTGCTGAAATACATAGCTCCTGACTCACTGCTCAGTGATGGAAAGGTTCTTACAAATGAAAGGGGATCAGTTTCTTTTTTGGCACACCTCTCCTTATTCCCAAAGTAAGCTAAAGTCACTGTGAGTTACAGGAGTCAGAGAGACAGCCCACTGGCCCTGGTGTGTCCCTGAGTGTTGATGGAATAAGACAGTGGGTCCCTCATCCTACTTGCCTCCCAGCCCCCCATTAGCCGCGTTCCTCCACTGCTAATTTGAGTGCTGACAACCTCAAACTCAAACGTACCAGTCTCCTCTGTCAGAGTGGCCTTCTCGGGTCTGTGAATTGTCCCTGCGCCCGTCAGGTGGAGCAAGCATTCGTGCCCTCGGCGGCCCCGCAGAGCACCCCCACAGTGCAGGAGGCCCCGGGATTGGTGCTGATCTGGCACGTCCTCAGCAAGGTTGCCTGGGACCAAGTCTCTTTCCCCGCCCCCTGCATGGGTCCCTCAAGCCCCCTGGATGCCGGAGCGCCTTTCCATGTCCACTGAGCTCCCTGCCTTCGGGCACCTGTGGGCTGGAAGTGTGGCCAGTACCACCCCAGAGACCAGCCATCACCTCCCCTGGCATCTCCACGCCGCCCTTCCAGCTGAACAGGGTCTCGCCCCCCGGCCGCTCACTGTGCCCACTTGTGTGCACTCCAGCCCTCCGGGGCTCGTCCCGTATTCCTCTCCTTCACACCACACTCTGTCAGGAGAACCTGGCTCTGTGGAATGTTCCACGCGGTTCTTTCCATGACATCCGAATACTGCTGCTCACAGACACGTCGGCCCACCTTTTGATAAAGCTGCTGAGTCTCCGACCGTCACGTGACTCAGTACTGTCTACGCGCACACATGTTGGTGACCCGCGGCTTGTTGCTCTGCGGAGACCTTGTCTGTGACTTATGAACCTGCAACCCCGGGGAGCACTGGCCGCTCCAGCTACCGTCCTGTGGGGACAGCCCAGGGCGTCAGGAGGGTCACCAGGCGCCCCACTGCCCAGATCCTCTGGCCTTCCCAACAAGCCCCTGGGAACCTCGAGAGGCCTGTCGGTTTGAGGGACCTCATCCAAGGCAGGCCAGCCCCTCCTCTTTTCTCCAAAGCCCCCTGCTCCTGCTCCACCTGAGGACACCCACCCCGTGGTGAAGGCCTGGCTCCGCCAGTCTGGCCATATCCATAAGCTTCCTTGTTGTCTGTGTTGTTTTTGTGCTACAACAACAGAGCTGAATATTTGCCGTCCAACCCCCTCCGGGGGAATGGCGACTCCTGGCCTCTGTCCCCGACTTCTGCAGCAGGGCTGGCGAGGGCAAGGGCAGCACACCAGTCTCTCTCGAGTCTGGCCACCACCACCGCCGCCCAACCGCCTGCGCTCTTGGCCACCCTCCACCCCTGCACTGCCTGCCCCCTGTGTGTTCGGAGAGAGACCTGTCGCCCCACGCTAGCGCACAGTCTAGGCAAACACTGAAGACATTACAGCTTGGGTAGGTGATGGCAGCCAGCCCAGATCTCGACGGGCCCCGGGGCTGCTCTAACCAGTCATCATAGTCTGGGCTTCTTCAGACCAGAGGTTGACTCTCTGACTGTGCTGGAGGCCGGAAGTCCAGAATCTGTGTCCACAGGGCCCCGCTCCCTCCAGAAGCTCCAGGACAGACTCCCTTCTCTGCCCTTTCCAGCCTCGGGGGCTCCCGCAGTCCTGAGCCAGCAGCCCTGTCCTCACAGGGCCCTCTGTGTCTGTCTCCGGTCTCGCTCCACCCTCCTCTCATGGGGATGCTTATCATTGCATGTAGGACCCATCTCGATTACCCAGCGTGGTCTTCTCATCTGGAGATCCTTCCCCTAATTACAAGGACCTTTTTCCCAAATAAGGTGGCATTCTCAGGTTCCAGGAGCTAGGAGGAGAGTTTGAGGAGACCCCGTTCCACCCACTCCAGCTAAGTGGGGAAATCCATTCTAATCCGCAGCTGATGGAGTGAAACCCTCCATGCAGACCCTCAAAGAGAGCACAGAGCCGGCAGAAGGAGCCCTGCACCCTCGCAGGGGAGCAGCCTCCTCCCCCGCCTCCCAGGGAGCCCCGGGGCCCGGCACACACTTCACTTCTGAGCGTAGCAGCAAGCTCGGGCAGCCGGCCTCCCTCTCTGCCCTGTCCTGCAGCACAGCCATGCTGCCCCTGCCCTCCCAGCCCCAGGGCCCCATGGACACCCCACCCCCCAGTGCCTGTCCTTCCTCACCCAGTAGCAGACTTAGCCCTTCCTGCCACCATCAAGGCCTGAACACCCGTTTTGTGCAAGTAAACCTCCGGTTCCACCAGTTTAGAGAAGAGAGATGGGGGCCCAAGGCACAGACTGGCCCTGGCCAGACACCCCAGAGCCCAGCCTGTGTTGACATAGCAGAAAGCTTCAGGAACAATGGCTGTGCGCATGTGACCTCGCCAAGCGGTAACTTGGGGGCCCGAGCACAGGAAAATCCCACACCTGTGGGGTCCTCAGCAGTCGGGGTTCCACCCAGAAATGGACACAGAGCCACTGTGCTGCCAGTGTTCAGGGGGCTATTGGGCATGAGCGACCATCTTCCCCAAGGCAGTGGCCTGTGGGTAGCCCAAGGCATGCATGTGATCAGCGTTCCCCAGGCAGAGAGAGGAGAGGCTCCCCAGGGCTGTGATGGTCATAATTTCAAAGGGCCCCCAAGCCGCCCATTCTGTGACAGCCTTTCCAGGGCTCACACTACTGCTCACATGCCAAGGTTATATCCCTGGCTCACGGGAGGGCTTCCTTGGGAATAAAAAAAAAAAGAGGAAAAACGTCATGAGGAGCTAAAGGCACAGACCTCCTGAAGATCCCTCGGAGTTTCAAGTAAGCTTGGAGCAGGCAGCCAGAGGCACTCTGCCCAGGTCACCTCGTGTCTGACCCATTGTGGTCCAGGCCCAGGTACCCAGAGCGTGCCCGGGGGTCAGTGTTCTTCCACCACAGTGACAGAGCAAGGCACAATTCTGTAGGTCTCTGCAGCACGGAGTGGAAACACCCACTTCACAGGGGCTGGATAACCCACCCCAAAGCCACGCTAAAACTCTTTTGTGCTTGCTTTCTGATCCCCAGGCTCTTGGCATCCAGCACGTGGGCCAGCCATGGGACCTTTAAGCAGGCCCACAATGCCCATAACATCAGAGCTGTTTTTGCACAGAATTATTATGACCTATGAGCTGTCTATGTGTTTTGTTGAGAAGAAAACAGAAAATGGAGACCAGCTAAAGCAACAAGAATAGTCAGCGTCATCTCTCATCCAGCAAGCATGCCCATCCCTCCAGACATCCATCTGGATGTTCACATTCAATTTAAAACTACAGGTGACTTCCCTGGCAAGGAGGTGAAGCCCGTCCCAGATGTTACCCCACAGCTGTGGCTTCTCAGGAAAGAGCCAGCTCCAGACAGAAGGGCTTTACTCCCTCCTGCTGCCCAGATTCCCCTGCAGTTGTCCCCAGTGAAGTCCACCCAGAGAGAGACTTGCTCAGAATCCCAAGGCAAGGGTCATACTGGATAAAGGAGCATTT